CCAAGACATGCTCTATCACCACAGAGATTTTAAGTATAATATATTAAGCAGACCCTGTTCAACCTACACGCAAATACACAAGTACATACGCTAATCAAGCATATATTTACAATTATTCCCCTTCTGCACACATATTCATATAGATATATAGGCTAGGCAGACCCTGATTACCTCCGCGAGAGGCACTGATCGTCGAGCCCCATAGTATGGGCAGGTCTCGAGTGTAGAGCCTAGAAAGACTAGATCTTCTATATCCCGTACTTGATTCTGGACATAAGTATAAAACCACATGCTGAGGTTAAAACAGTACATGAAGTATTGCAATTCATCGTAGCATGTGCGAAACTAGTCGATATGTGGGAATCACGTGAGTGCACGTGTGAATGGTGTGTTTTGATATCTGCCAATATGGCACCCGGTACATCATGCATGCAAAGAATGGACAGATATATCTATGTATGTAGTCTGGTATACAGTATTCCCGACAAAGGCTGCGATAAATATTCGCAATATCAACGAGTTTCTTGCAAGGTTTATAGTCTTATATGACAAAGCGACATACACAAAACAATTCTCGAAAACCGGTCGTTCAATGCCCGGGCCATCGAAGATATTTACGCGTTATGAACTTACATGAACTCGTTTCAGAAACTGTTTTGACCTCTTAAGATTATAGTACGGACATCCTTTGCCTTTCTTGCCCGTTTTGGATGTTTTCTTGCCTATATTGCGGGAGGAGAACACTGGAGTAATAAGTTTTCTACTCCCAGACACACCTGTATACGTAGTCGAACCGTACGCCTCCGAGAAATAATGCTGCATCATAGCTTATAAAGCTGCCGGTATGTTGGTAGTTCAACTATATGTAACTTCAGATATGTTTGAAAAAATTGTTTCTTTGGATATCAAATACGCCGCTTGAGACTGACACGTGTCTATGCTTGCACATCTACATGAAGAATACAAGCAGTCATAAAAGCAGATGATTCGTGTGTAGAAACATATACTTAGTTTATTTTCGATAGATTATGTACATGTATGCGACGAATATATGTACGCGCTCACAAGAAGTATCTAAGGCATCTGGCATTGTATCCTTAAAAGATATGCAACTACTAAATACACACAGCGCACAAAATACCACACTGCTATGACAGCTGGTTAGTACATGGCGGGAAAAGCAAAAGGATTGATATCCTCTTCTCAAATCTGTCGAGGAAAAGCAAATTAGCCGCATGCATTGTTATCACTATATATACAAAGTTTTGCGTACTTCGCATATGACATACCCTTCTTATCTTTAAGCTCGAGACAGCGATCATTAATACGACTTTGCGACCCCAGCGCCTTCACCTCTGGATTAATACACATTTGCTGGCGAGATGCGAGTGATGTAACGGACACTTCCTCTCCATAGGGTGATTGCTTTAACTGCACATCGTGTAGAAAGGATGGTAGATTGGCGCACAGTCATCCAATTTGCGCATATTCATGTTAATAAACATGAATATATATGTGTGTGTAAATTCTACCTTACAATGCGCGATTTGTGTGTTCCGCGATGTATGATCTTGGGTATCACGCACAGCCGATCCGCGAGTCCAAAAGTGCCCATCCAAAAAAATTGACTTCCATATACACTACAGATAGAGACTGATGCAAATCAACAATGCTCCTACCGACCCGAATATATATATATATATTCTTACAAGTAACCTTCCATACACAGACTACAGAACAAGCAGACGCAACACCGCAACACACTATGATACCAACGCGTAGACATGCGGAAAACGCGCATGAAAGTCTCTCTCGAACTCTACAAGTACGCTCTACTACAGTCTAAGCTATTTCAAATGGGCACAGTATACTGTGAAGGATAGTTCGTCCGTGATCTCTCCCATCTAACGCGGAGAATTACAAGAATGGAACTTATTTATCCTTTTTAAGCACTATATTATACTCCATACATGTCGAAACAATCTCAAACGAGCAGAAGTAAGATCTATCAAACAATCGATCTAAACATGGTAGGAAAGGCTCAACCTACCTCTCCCACGAATTGTGAGATCTGTGAATGCGTTCTGCTGCAGTATATGATCTTGGGTGTGACACTCGGCAGATCAGCGAACTCGTCAGTACTCCCATCTGATCCATCGTCACTACTGTCTAGATAGTCGTCCTTGTTCTTAGTTTGGGCTTCATCCCCACTTTCGTAGTCTACTATTAGGTCTTTCTCGGTTGCGCGTGAGTCATCTGTTGAGAGACCAGTAAGAGTGAGACATAGTCTGAACCAGTACACGGATATTTGTCATGTTCAGCGACATTTCAATGCAAGCTGGAAAATTTGCTTGGATCTTCAGCGTCTATATAATTATGGACTACTAGACTAATCTACTGGTTTTTGGAATCGACCGCGCATAAGATCAGGTGAACGATTCGCTCCACCAGCATCCCTCCCAAAACTCAGCACATGGTTAGAAAATGTAGAGATCATGTGTTCATTTGTATGAATGATTACCATAGCAAGCGCTTGTTATTCCTTATTCAGAAACTACACACCGATAATCCGAACAACCATACATTCTCATTCGTCTGAAAAAAATCCAAAACGTAAACTACTAGGTGAATATAACTGCTTCAACTAACTGTATCCTATTCTATTAGTGGAATTCAACGACATCATCAACGTATACCGCATACAAAGCCATGCCAAATGAGGAGACCAAGATATGGAATCGTCAGAGGGGCAACAACAATGAAAATTGATTTAAGCGTAAGTCGACGTTAAGTAGATCGCAGTCGATTAACAACACTGATACGGTGACCACAGTCATTATTTCATCTATAAATATCACAGCTGCATCTACACTCTTCGACCGATGGTTTGACTCTTAATCATACACTGACGATATGATTGCAGTGATTATGATTGCAGTAAATATGATTGCAGTAATTAACGAAGTGATGAGCGGGTTCCGCACTAAACATCGCGTAGATTGTTAAGCCAACAGGGGTACATATATATATATATATATATGTGTGTGTGTGTGTGTGTGTGTGTGTGTGTGTGTGTAGTATATA